AAATGGTAATATTTCTCAACAGCAGTGTGTGTTGGAAATGTGGTACAATTAAAGGACAGTAGCAGTATTGTTTAGTAGCCCATTAGACCAATTTTGCATCTCAACAAAGAACTTGTAATGTTTTATGTTCTCTTTGCAGCATGGAGATTTTAGAAATCAGACAATAAATATACATTTGGATTACCTGTATAGAAAAATCCAGCATTAGCTAGTAAAGCAGGCTGTATCTCTTTGCAATAAGATGGCCAGTTGGTGAAGGATTCAAGTCTTGACTCCATTTCTTTGTGCTTATTTTTTACTTCTAGAGAATTGTTCTCTAGATTCTGTACTCGAATATCATATTTACAGATGTTACCAACCTCTTTGCCTAAAATAAATTTGCAACTGGACCATAGCTTTTTATGTTCCACAAAAGGTGGCCTTTCAAGACTTCTTGCAAGCAAAACTAATCCACAGCAAAAACACTGTATTGCAGTCTTAACACTGGTATAATAGAAGCCAGCTGCAGCCATTTCGGAGGGTGCCCAAGCTGATTTACAATCATTAGGTAGGGAGAGGAAAGTTTTTAACCTTTTGGCTTCACTTCTCATTCTGGGATTAAACCCTCTTCGCAGTTGCTTTCGAATTTGCCGGTATTCTAGCTCCATTTCTTCCATAATTTTGCTAAAATTAAAATTTGATTGAGGGTACAACCTCTCAATATAAGTGGAATCCAGCTCTGAAATGTTACTGATATCTGCAGAAGTCTCTTGGGCAGCCATGCTACGGTATTAAAAAACAAAGCAAAATTGTAAGTCCATACATCATAAATGATCTGGGCTCTGAAATTACATACTTCATTGCACAGAGTAATAATAATTATAGTGTTTATTTTTTCCAAGGAATCAACAGAAAGTAGTATGGGTCTGACTCTGCTTCAATTATTAATCTGAAGTCAGTTTCTACTAAAAAGGATTTACAAGTTACTTCCTCCTTTCCCTTTGCTCCACTTTTTGAGCTATTAGAAAAACCTATATAAAAACTCCTGTGCCTCATTTTTCTAGTATAAGTCTAGTATGTCCCAGTAATGTAGATATAGCAAAATTTTAAAAAACCCTAAAAAAAGAAACACTAATGAAATTTCTTTCAAAAAGAACTTACATTGATATATAGATTTTGTGCACACAAAATGTTTTATGTGTGTTCTCTCACCATTTTTTCTTGTTACTTGTTCAATGCAAAAACAAATTTCTAGGACATTTTCTTATGCGTGAAGATTAAATGCCACTTGCAATTCAAATTTGTGTGAATGTCTTGGAAATGAATCCAAATTATAACAATCTTTGGGCTCCCTGCTGTGGTACTAATAAAATCATGATTCTGGCTTTAAAAAAAAATTATTCTCACCAATGCAGGCAGTGTTCACTATTTCTCAATATCTGCAGGAAACTCTTCAAATTGACATCACCTCTCTTTCCCTTTAAGTTTGGACTGTATAGTCTTGTAAAACCCACTGTTCATGAGCTCAATTAAAGTTGAAACTTAATGAGGGCAAAGAGTGGGCTGGGACAGATATGTGAATTGCAATTGAGCCAAATAGGAATTACTGCTTCATTTCCCCCCAAAAAATCAAAACTGACACCGAATGAAATTGACAGCGAATGAAACACACAGAAAAGAGATAGGAGGAATGCATATTTCTGTTTTGTATTGTCACTGTTATTGACACCATATATTAAATAATGTCAAATTCCTTCTCAAATATAGTTCAGTTTACTGGCAGATGTTTCATTACCCAAAGTAGGTAACATCATCAGGGCTACCTAGTTTGAAAACAAGCAAGAAAACAAGCAAGCTCAGAGAGCACCAAGGGTCCCTCATTTCAACCCTGATCTACAAATATCTTCCTTTATTGATAGTTCAGTTTAGCACTGGAACTTACCTGTTTCCAGGTCCTGATTCACAGGCAGTTGAAATGAGTTGCCTCAGGGGAAAAAGGATCTCTCAGCCCACATACCAAAACAAAAACAAAAAACCACCTCTTCCTTTACAGAAAGGAGGAAGTAAGAAAAATGGACTTCCCACAATTGAGAAATGTATCTGTGGAAAGCGAAACAAGGACAGAACAGTTTCTGTAGCAAAGTCTCAGGTAAAAATGACTTTACTGCTGGGAGGGGGAGGGGAGTACAGAGATTCTTAGATGAAATTAGTTATCTAAATCAGGAGTTTTCACATTTTTCCAAGCCACGGAACTTGTTAAATTCCTGGAACCCCGATCAAAAGCTATAGTGTTGATGATACAAATTTGCTAATAAAATGAAAAGTAAACTATTTATTATACATGCAAAACAATAAAAGTTGAGTTTCAGTTATCAGAGAGTGTGTTAATGTTTTAAGCAAATAACTTAGTTTCAATGATTACAATGTAATTGCTTTTCTTGGATAAAAGTTGAAGGTAAGGAACAATAATATAATCTAAATTTAGCCTATTTCTATACTCATTTTTTATTGCTGGATATAGTCTTACAAAAATATCACATATTTCAATGCTTGACTAGCAATTTTGGGTATTTAAAAAAAAGGCTATACTCAGACATTCATAAATTCTGAAGAAAGAAATGTTAATAAAATCAGTTTAATTGCTGAAAATGTGCCAGAAGCAGCAATATCAGCAGCCCTGGAATTTGCTTTTTCTTTTATTTTCACCTTTTTGTATACTATCGGATATTGTACCAGTCTGGTAGCCAATTAATTATAATTGAAAAAAATTGTTCATTTGAAATAGGTATTAGACATAATAGAAAAACAAAATAAAAATATATA